AGCTGCAGAACCACTCTTTCCACAGAACAACTGTGTCAACTTCTGAAACTGTGCCTGGAATCAACCTGTTTCACATATGGGGGGCTATATTATAGGCAGAAACATGGGTGTKCTATGGGCTCCCCAGCTTCMCCTATTGTTGCAAACCTGTACATGGAGGAGGTGGAAAACAGAGCTCTGATGTCCTTTACAGGGACACCACCRAGCCATTGGTTCARGTATGTTGATGAGAGCTGKGTTAAAATTAAATCCCAGGAAGTYCAACATTTCACTGATCACATTAACTCTGTGGATAAATATGTAAAGTTCACACGAGAGGATGTAAAAGACGGCAGGTTGGCGTTCCTGRACTGTGATGTCTCAGTTTCGGATGGAGAATGGTTGGRAACTGATGTGTATCGCAAACCCACCCATACMGACCAGTATTTGCGTTTTGATTCCCATTACCCACTGGAACACAGTTAGGAGTCATCAGGACTCTGTACCACAGAGCAGACAGAGTCCCAACAAACACAGGAGCCAGGAAGAAAGAGAAGTCACACACAAGATAGACCCTGGAGCAGTGCGGCTATCCTAACTGGGCTTTTCTGARAGCAGACAAGAAACYCAAACAGGATTCCAGCCAACAACCAGCTGAAAATGAAGACCCCAAACCCAGACCCAAACCAGTCGTCATTCYTTATGTGGCAGGAGTTTCAGAGAAACTGAGACATTTATTCTCTAAACATGAYGTCTCAGTGGCTTTCAAACCCCAAAACACTTTACAACAAAGATTAGTTCACCCCAAAGATCCAGTTCCCCGGCAAAAACAGAGTAATACTGTATAGCTGTTAAGTGTCAGGAGGACTGTGATCATTTATACATTGAGAAAACAAAACAGCCACTGTTCAAAAGAATGAGCCAGCACAGACGAGCAAATTTGACGGGTCAGGACTCTACAGTTTACACTCWTCTACATGCCAGCGGTCACTCTTTGAGGGATGAAGATGYTCTCATCCTTAATAGAGAGGAGTAAAGGAAGCCATCTTTGTGAAGAAAACCCGTTCACAATTAAACAGAGGTGGAGGCCTTCGTGTCAAGTTGTCCTCCTCCTACAATGCTGTTATTGCAAGTNACCCATGTTTGTTTTCGCCTCGCCTCGCCTCGCCTCGCCTCGCCTCGCCTCCACGCTCCAAGTTTTGATGTTTTGTTACCTTGCCACCATATTGGCTTTTTTCTTTATTAAAGTCTTTTTAATTACTTTAAGTTTGGTCTGCCTGCCTGCCTGCATTTTGGGTTCTCCTCACCACCAAGTCGTGACAGGTTTGTCTAATTAAAACCAACTCTGAGTAACAGAGTCAAATGCAGAAAGTGTTGCAACTGTCCCCTGTCTCCCCTACACTTCTTAAAACGAAGTGTTACAAGGGAGTTCATAGGTTCTTCTGTTTAAGGAAGCAAACAACCTCTCTGTGTGAAAATGAGACCACACWAAKA